TAGTCTTAACCCCAGCTCTTTCATATGGGCGAGAACGAAATCTCGAAGCTAGTATTAACCAATCGTAACTATAATTGAGTATGCGGATGCCCTGGAGTTGCAGTGGAGCCACAGCAGCATCCACACACTTGGTGAAAGTGCGGGGGGAGAGTGCAAGGCCGAACGGAAGAACCCGATATTGGTAAGCTTCGCCCCCGAAAGTAAACCTCAGGAACTTCCTGTGTTCCTGGTGGTTGATGTTAGAGACCACCGCTGTGTTGTCGGTGCGCACCAACACATGGTGGCCTCTTAGGTCCAGGAGGAAGTGTCTCAGTGCTTGAAACACGGCCAGCATCTCGAGGCAGTTGATGTGCTATGTGAGATGGCGACCGATGCATCTTTTAGATCGATCGTGACAGCCCAGTCCTCAGACCTGATCTGAGACACGACTTGTTTGAGTGTGAGCATCCTGAACTTCAGCCACATGACTGAGCGGTTCAACTGATGCAGATCTAAAATGGCACGCAACCTCCCATCCTTCTTTGGAACGATGAAGTACCAGCTGTAGAACCCGGACTCTCTGTCGAGAGGAGGGACCACCTCGATGGCCTCCTTCCTCAAGAGAGTGTTTACTTCTTGTTCCATTACCAGAGCCTGCTCGGGGCCCACCAGAGTGGGGATCACCCCATTGAAACGAGGCGGAGGAGAACTGAATGAATGAGGTAACCTTTTTCTACAGTGTGCAGGACCCACGGAGACACATTTGGCAGAAGCTTCCACACTGTTAAATAGTCTGCTTCATCTCATCATCAGCGCTCATGTTCCTGCACTGTGCCCTCATCAGTCCGATTAACCCGTCCATCATCAGCAGAAACAATCCCTCCTTCTATCACAGCATCGTTTCCATCTCAAATGAATGGACTGGCAGATGGAAGTAGACACTGGAAACCCGAGGTCCGGAAAGTTCCATTATAAAAACGTGCAGCTTATTTGCATTTGTCATAAATTCCTGCGATGCTTTAGCAGTCGGAGAGGTTTGATCAGGAGCAGATGGAGGAAGCAGACGCTGGGAACGACAGCGACTCATTCACTGCAAACCAATCCAGCGACTGTCGAGTGTTATTTAGAGGAGTTTACTCTGCTCGTCATAGAAAGTTTTATCCACATACATACAGTACACTCATACGCGATATACACTATATAGCAAATCAACTGCTTGATTGTTGATATTGTCACAAAAACTGTATTATCCTACATTTCTAATCTGATAAATCTGACTATAATGCATGAAGATATTAAGATATTATATTATGTTGTGAAGGCACTATACAAATACATTTGACTGACTCAAGTTCTTCTGAACTGAATTCTTGCATTCTTATTCAAAGATCACAACTTCATTTAGACCTTTAAAGGGACAGTTCAACCAAAAATGATTATTTATCGACCTCAGGTTTCCCCTAGTGAAAAATAAATATACTAAAATGTATTTCAAATACATTTATTTTATGCTAAGTATACTACATTTACATATTTATGTACTTATTAAAAATACCCTGCAATTGTACTTTTAGTATACTAAACTGCTCTGCTAAATTGGAACAACTAATTTTGTGCTTAATGAACTTTAATTGTGCGGAAGTCCAACTAAAGATATAGTGAAGTAACACTTCAGGTACACTTTAAATATCTTGCATTTAAAGATCGATATTATTCAAAGATCATATAGTCCTCATTACATTAAAACACATTTTAGGCTTAATATTAAGAAATGTGCATTGTGCACAAGTAGTACTCCAAATAAAGTTTAATTATTATTTTATATCAATAAGTCTCAAGCGATATGTCAATAAATATGTTAATAGATTTGAACTATACTTCATGAAATAAATGTATTCCAAATGTATATCTTCTTGACTAGGGTCTTTCTTCAAAAGAAGATATTTTGAAGAATGTTGGTGACCAAACCGTTTCTGATCCCCATTGACTTACACGGTATAAAAAAAGAAATCAATGGCTACCGTCAACTGTCTGGTTCCCTACATGCTTCAGAATATCTTCTTTTGTGTTCAGCAGAAGAGAGAAACTCGTACAGGTTTGGAACAACTTGAGGGAGAGTAAAAGATGACAGTTTTCATTTTTGGGTGAACTGTCTCTTTAAGGTCTATATTTTATTGCTTTACTAACCAGTCAATCACATTCAGTGTTTTTATTTCAAACCAAAAGCCAGTGAAAGGCATTTGAGCGTTCCGTGTATTCAGACCTTCACCCTTATGAAGAGACGCCACCGTCTCTGAACTAAAGCGTGTTTTTTAAATATATGTGACCCTGGAGCACAAAACCAGTCTTAAGTGTAAATTTTTCAAAATTGAGATTTATACATATATAATAAATAAGCTTTCCATTGATGTATGGTTTGTTAGGATAGGATAATATTTGGCTGCTTTTGTGCTCCAGGGTCACAGATGAGCGTCAACAAATCCAGTCTCGGCTGTCATCTTCTGCTTTAGCGTCTCGGAGCGGGTCTGTGTCTGACTCTGTATGAAAGCGTTGTTCTGTCTTCGCAGCGGCAGAAGGTCCGGAGAGCTGGAGCCGTTCCTCCACGAGAGCCGAGAACTTCAGGAGGACGAGGAACCGCATCTCCTGGAGCTCCTGGAGAAGGTGGAGCACAAGCTGAAGAAGAAGCGCCGCAACAAGCAGAAGAAGCAGCGCCATCGTCAGTTCAACGACCTCTGGGTGCGGATGGAGGAGAGGTGAGACCAGCGAAAACCTGCTCCACAACACCATTCACATATTTGAAATACCTTTATTTTATGCTAAGTATACTACATTTACATATTTATGTACTTATTAAAAATACCCTGCAATTGTACTATTACTATACTAAACTGCTCTGCTAAATTGGAACAACTAATTTTGTGCTTAATGAACTTTAATTGTGCGGAAGTCCAACTAAAGATATAGTGAAGTAACACTTCAGGTACACTTTAAATATCTTGCATTTAAAGATCGATATTATTCAAAGATCATATAGTCCTCATTACATTAAAACACATTTTAGGCTTAATATTAAGAAATGTGCATTGTGCACAAGTAGTACTCCAAATAAAGTTTAATTATTATTTTATATCAATAAGTCTCAAGCGATATGTCAATAAATATGTTAATAGATTTGAACTATACTTCATGAAATAAATGTATTCCAAATGTATAACTTCTTGACTAGGGTCTTTCTTCAAAAGAAGATATTTTGAAGAATGTTGGTGACCAAACCGTTTCTGATCCCCATTGACTTACACGGTATAAAAAAAGAAATCAATGGCTACCGTCAACTGTCTGGTTCCCTACATGCTTCAGAATATCTTCTTTTGTGTTCAGCAGAAGAGAGAAACTCGTACAGGTTTGGAACAACTTGAGGGAGAGTAAAAGATGACAGTTTTCATTTTTGGGTGAACTGTCTCTTTAAGGTCTATATTTTATTGCTTTACTAACCAGTCAATCACATTCAGTGTTTTTATTTCAAACCAAAAGCCAGTGAAAGGCATTTGAGCGTTCCGTGTATTCAGACCTTCACCCTTATGAAGAGACGCCACCGTCTCTGAACTAAAGCGTGTTTTTTAAATATATGTGACCCTGGAGCACAAAACCAGTCTTAAGTGTAAATTTTTCAAAATTGAGATTTATACATATATAATAAATAAGCTTTCCATTGATGTATGGTTTGTTAGGATAGGATAATATTTGGCTGCTTTTGTGCTCCAGGGTCACAGATGAGCGTCAACAAATCCAGTCTCGGCTGTCATCTTCTGCTTTAGCGTCTCGGAGCGGGTCTGTGTCTGACTCTGTATGAAAGCGTTGTTCTGTCTTCGCAGCGGCAGAAGGTCCGGAGAGCTGGAGCCGTTCCTCCACGAGAGCCGAGAACTTCAGGAGGACGAGGAACCGCATCTCCTGGAGCTCCTGGAGAAGGTGGAGCACAAGCTGAAGAAGAAGCGCCGCAACAAGCAGAAGAAGCAGCGCCATCGTCAGTTCAACGACCTCTGGGTGCGGATGGAGGAGAGGTGAGACCAGCACAAACCTGCTCCCCAACACCATTCACAAACTACCAGCGTTTCTGAGAGGCCTGCGAGTACCTATGAGTAACTACATGTCAACTAACTCTCCTGAGAGTATTCGGGCCAGAGCGCAATTCCAAAACAGCGCTGATGAGCGTGGACATTTCTGCGGGTGATTTACTAACAACAGACGTAACATCTCATTTACATATCGACCAACGCAATATACCAAGCGCAGCGCAAACTAGCGTAGTCACAAATAAAGAATAAAGAAGCCACAGTACGATGAAAAGAACCGGAGGCCAAGAAATGAAGGCTTGCTGTAAGTTTTGATAGAGCTGGTATTGCGTGACTCCTAGTTGAGGGTTCAAAGTCGTCTCTTATTTCCTAAAGCAAATTAAAAATAACATGGCTTTGCAATCGATATGTTGGGATAATGTGTTCTTCTGGCATTCAAAATAAATTAATACGTGTGGAAAAAATCCTCTCTCATCTCTGCGGTGCCTCCTCTAGCAACAATAATTGCAGGCATTTCAAGCACAAAATGCTTTATTTGGGCGTTAAATAATGGCGCAAATAAAAGAGTAAAATGCCTTGCGTATTTGAATACTCTCCGCCCATAAGTTTTTAGATAAACTCCTAGAAATGCATATTCAATAAAGTCAGGCGCAAAAATAACTGTGTCCATGCCTTTTCAGCACTTATTCGTCACTGCGCGTCTTTAGTAAAACCTGACAGTAATATTTTAACTATTTTTATTTGAACGGTTTGCACTGGCGTAAGCTGTTAGTAAAACTGGCCCATAGACTGTTAGGTTAGGGCTAGTAGAATAAGTTGACTTGTACTTGCAATGTGACTAGTTGAATGTCCATCAAAATCAAATGTTAGCAGATATTAAGCAGACAGTCACTAATACTCTAATGATTGCTAGTTGACAAGTTACTTATAGTTAGTAAAATCTCTAAAATGGAACATAGTTTTTGTAATTATAAATAAAATTTCATTTTTAGATTTTCTGTTTTCATTTAAATTTTAGTTTGTTTTGTTTTATGTGTTTGCCATTATTGTTTTTTTTAAATACACATATATTATTTTTATTATACATTTGTAACTTTTTAGTTTATTTTAGTACTTAGTATTTCAAATTTTAGTTCAAGTTTGTTTTTAAACATGCCTATAGTTTTTATTTTTAGTATATTTAGCCTAAAATAAAATAGTTTAATATTTTTGTTAATGTTTTAAATTTTATTTTTATGTTTACGGTTTTCATTTAAATGTTTAGTTGAGGTTTTGTGTTTTTTTTTGTCATTTTTATTAGTTCGTTGTTATAAAATATGCCTATTTTTACGTTTTATTTATTCTATTTTTATTTAATTTCAGTTAATGTTGATCTTATTTGAAGTAAAGAATTGTTTAATGGTTTTATGGTTACTGATAATACTCTGTTGGTGGAGGTCAGTAACCGGTTAAACACGTCTGTATGGGAGCGGATGGGCTTCCTCAGCGGTTCTGGTGTACTGTGGGAAGGATAACTGGATGACGGCTGGGATTACGGACGCTGGATTTGGCCTGCGGCTGCGTCTCGAGTGTCGGCCGGAGCGGCTGCGAGTCTGAGGGGAGACTCCTGCGAGACGCCCGGAGCACTTCAGCCGCATCTGTCCCGACATGAGTCCTCACCTGCTGCAGAGAAACGCTGAACATACTCGTCTGATTCTCGAGACGCGTCACAACCTGCTGAATATCCTTCAGTGCAGTTCATTAATGAACACGAGTGGCATTATTTCCAAACACAGATCCTGACTGAGAATCTCAGACTGACTGTCCTCTGTGCTGGAAATGAAGCATCTGGTTCCAGAATTCTCCATCTGTATGAGCTATATTTAATTTACACCAATCAGTTTTTGAACAGACTGATTCTTGTTCCCGTGTCAAATCCCACACGACATGTTCTCTGCCGAGCCTGAACCGTGTTCTGGAAACTTGCTTGAATTTACTTTTTACAGTCGCCCACGTAATTCTGAGTAAAAAAAATATTTCTTTAATAAACTGTTTATGAAAGCCAAGCGGGTCCCAGACGGTCAAAACAAACACAGGGTGCTGAATATAGACTTCATTTGTTTGAAGATGGAGGAGAGGTGAGACCAGCACAAACCTGCTCCCCAACACCATTCACAAACTACCAGCGTTTCTGAGAGGCCTGCGAGTACCTATGAGTAACTACATGTCAACTAACTCTCCTGAGAGTATTCGGGCCAGAGCGCAGTTCCAAAACAGCGCTGATGAGCGTGGAAATTTCTGCGGGTGATTTACTAACAACAGACGTAACATCTCATTTACATATCGACCAACGCAATATACCAAGCGCAGCGCAAACTAGCGTAGTCACAAATAAAGAATAAAGAAGCCACAGTACGATGAAAAGAACCGGAGGCCAAGAAATGAAGGCTTGCTGTAAGTTTTGATAGAGCTGGTATTGCGTGACTCCTAGTTGAGGGTTCAAAGTCGTCTCTTATTTCCTAAAGCAAATTAAAAATAACATGGCTTTGCAATCGATATGTTGGGATAATGTGTTCTTCTGGCATTCAAAATAAATTAATACGTGTGGAAAAAATCCTCTCTCATCTCTGCGGTGCCTCCTCTAGCAACAATAATTGCAGGCATTTCAAGCACAAAATGCTTTATTTGGGCGTTAAATAATGGCGCAAATAAAAGAGTAAAATGCCTTGCGTATTTGAATACTCTCCGCCCATAAGTTTTTAGATAAACTCCTAGAAATGCATATTCAATAAAGTCAGGCGCAAAAATAACTGTGTCCATGCCTTTTCAGCGCTTATTCGTCACTGCGCGTCTTTAGTAAAACCTGACAGTACTATTTTAACTATTTTTATTTGAACGGTTTGCACTGGCGTAAGCTGTTAGTAAAACTGGCCCATAGACTGTTAGGTTAGGGCTAGTAGAATAAGTTGACTTGTACTTGCAATGTGACTAGTTGAATGTCCATCAAAATCAAATGTTAGCAGATATTAAGCAGACAGTCACTAATACTCTAATGATTGCTAGTTGACAAGTTACTTATAGTTAGTAAAATCTCTAAAATGGAACATAGTTTTTGTAATTATAAATAAAATTTCATTTTTAGATTTTCTGTTTTCATTTAAATTTTAGTTTGTTTTGTTTTATGTGTTTGCCATTATTGTTTTTTTTAAATACACATATATTATTTTTATTATACATTTGTAACTTTTTAGTTTATTTTAGTACTTAGTATTTCAAATTTTAGTTCAAGTTTGTTTTTAAACATGCCTATAGTTTTTATTTTTAGTATATTTAGCCTAAAATAAAATAGTTTAATATTTTTGTTAATGTTTTAAATTTTATTTTTATGTTTACGGTTTTCATTTAAATGTTTAGTTGAGGTTTTGTGTTTTTTTTTGTCATTTTTATTAGTTCGTTGTTATAAAATATGCCTATTTTTACGTTTTATTTATTCTATTTTTATTTAATTTCAGTTAATGTTGATCTTATTTGAAGTAAAGAATTGTTTAATGGTTTTATGGTTACTGATAATACTCTGTTGGTGGAGGTCAGTAACCGGTTAAACACGTCTGTATGGGAGCGGATGGGCTTCCTCAGCGGTTCTGGTGTACTGTGGGAAGGATAACTGGATGACGGCTGGGATTACGGACGCTGGATTTGGCCTGCGGCTGCGTCTCGAGTGTCGGCCGGAGCGGCTGCGAGTCTGAGGGGAGACTCCTGCGAGACGCCCGGAGCACTTCAGCCGCATCTGTCCCGACATGAGTCCTCACCTGCTGCAGAGAAACGCTGAACATACTCGTCTGATTCTCGAGACGCGTCACAACCTGCTGAATATCCTTCAGTGCAGTTCATTAATGAACACGAGTGGCATTATTTCCAAACACAGATCCTGACTGAGAATCTCAGACTGACTGTCCTCTGTGCTGGAAATGAAGCATCTGGTTCCAGAATTCTCCATCTGTATGAGCTATATTTAATTTACACCAATCAGTTTTTGAACAGACTGATTCTTGTTCCCGTGTCAAATCCCACACGACATGTTCTCTGCCGAGCCTGAACCGTGTTCTGGAAACTTGCTTGAATTTACTTTTTACAGTCGCCCACGTAATTCTGAGTAAAAAAAATATTTCTTTAATAAACTGTTTATGAAAGCCAAGCGGGTCCCAGACGGTCAAAACAAACACAGGGTGCTGAATATAGACTTCATTTGTTTGAACCCGTGGAGGGAAACAGGCCGCAGGTCCCGAACAGACAGAATCACGCGTCTCTGGATTTCATCGCGTCCACAGACGCTCACACACGCGTGTTGACACAGATGGAGGACGGAAATGAAATCCTCAAACTCTTTATTTGTGTTCCCCGTCCGTCTCAGCAGCTCTGACAGACTCCATTTACTTTCCCTGCCTCCTTCTTCATATTTCATAAACTAGCAGATTTCAGACGCTCACGTGACTGAAGACGGTGCTGCTGTAAACACACGTGACTCCATCAGAAACCCTGAGGATCTGCAGGTGGAGTTCTTGTGTGGAAAAAATCCTCTCTCATCTCTGCGGTGCCTCCTCTAGCAACAATAATTGCAGGCATTTCAAGCACAAAATGCTTTATTTGGGCGTTAAATAATGGCGCAAATAAAAGAGTAAAATGCCTTGCGTATTTGAATACTCTCCGCCCATAAGTTTTTAGATAAACTCCTAGAAATGCATATTCAATAAAGTCAGGCGCAAAAATAACTGTGTCCATGCCTTTTCAGCACTTATTCGTCACTGCGCGTCTTTAGTAAAACCTGACAGTACTATTTTAACTATTTTTATTTGAACGGTTTGCACTGGCGTAAGCTGTTAGTAAAACTGGCCCATAGACTGTTAGGTTAGGGCTAGTAGAATAAGTTGACTTGTACTTGCAATGTGACTAGTTGAATGTCCATCAAAATCAAATGTTAGCAGATATTAAGCAGACAGTCACTAATACTCTAATGATTGCTAGTTGACAAGTTACTTATAGTTAGTAAAATCTCTAAAATGGAACATAGTTTTTGTAATTATAAATAAAATTTCATTTTTAGATTTTCTGTTTTCATTTAAATTTTAGTTTGTTTTGTTTTATGTGTTTGCCATTATTGTTTTTTTTAAATACACATATATTATTTTTATTATACATTTGTAACTTTTTAGTTTATTTTAGTACTTAGTATTTCAAATTTTAGTTCAAGTTTGTTTTTAAACATGCCTATAGTTTTTATTTTTAGTATATTTAGCCTAAAATAAAATAGTTTAATATTTTTGTTAATGTTTTAAATTTTATTTTTATGTTTACGGTTTTCATTTAAATGTTTAGTTGAGGTTTTGTGTTTTTTTTTGTCATTTTTATTAGTTCGTTGTTATAAAATATGCCTATTTTTACGTTTTATTTATTCTATTTTTATTTAATTTCAGTTAATGTTGATCTTATTTGAAGTAAAGAATTGTTTAATGGTTTTATGGTTACTGATAATACTCTGTTGGTGGAGGTCAGTAACCGGTTAAACACGTCTGTATGGGAGCGGATGGGCTTCCTCAGCGGTTCTGGTGTACTGTGGGAAGGATAACTGGATGACGGCTGGGATTACGGACGCTGGATTTGGCCTGCGGCTGCGTCTCGAGTGTCGGCCGGAGCGGCTGCGAGTCTGAGGGGAGACTCCTGCGAGACGCCCGGAGCACTTCAGCCGCATCTGTCCCGACATGAGTCCTCACCTGCTGCAGAGAAACGCTGAACATACTCGTCTGATTCTCGAGACGCGTCACAACCTGCTGAATATCATTCAGTGCAGTTCATTAATGAACACGAGTGGCATTATTTCCAAACACAGATCCTGACTGAGAATCTCAGACTGACTGTCCTCTGTGCTGGAAATGAAGCATCTGGTTCCAGAATTCTCCATCTGTATGAGCTATATTTAATTTACACCAATCAGTTTTTGAACAGACTGATTCTTGTTCCCGTGTCAAATCCCACACGACATGTTCTCTGCCGAGCCTGAACCGTGTTCTGGAAACTTGCTTGAATTTACTTTTTACAGTCGCCCACGTAATTCTGAGTAAAAAAAATATTTCTTTAATAAACTGTTTATGAAAGCCAAGCGGGTCCCAGACGGTCAAAACAAACACAGGGTGCTGAATATAGACTTCATTTGTTTGAACCCGTGGAGGGAAACAGGCCGCAGGTCCCGAACAGACAGAATCACGCGTCTCTGGATTTCATCGCGTCCACAGACGCTCACACACGCGTGTTGACACAGATGGAGGACGGAAATGAAATCCTCAAACTCTTTATTTGTGTTCCCCGTCCGTCTCAGCAGCTCTGACAGACTCCATTTACTTTCCCTGCCTCCTTCTTCATATTTCATAAACTAGCAGATTTCAGACGCTCACGTGACTGAAGACGGTGCTGCTGTAAACACACGTGACTCCATCAGAAACCCTGAGGATCTGCAGGTGGAGTTCTTCTAAAAACACTGAAGCGGCTGATGTTTCAGCTGTAGAGGCGCAGTCCTGCGATAGATCTGAGTGACGGGGAACCATCTTCAGATTCGACCGACTCCTCCACATTTCACTGCTCGGATTGAAATCTGGCAAATGTTTCAAATTGGATTTGGATAGTCGTTAGATGATGATGGTTAGGGCTGGGTTGAAAAAATATTGTTTTATTGATTTTAATCAATTCTCATTTTGATGAACCAGTATCAATTCTTAAATCCCAAGAACAGATCTGTGCAGTTTTGAGTTGACGTGAACAAAACTTGATGAAACATTCACAAGCTTTGTTACTTTTGACATGAAACAAAGTCTCAGCTTTCAAATTCTGTCACTTCTGTCACTAACTGGTTTTGCTGCTCTTTAAGTGCTCCTAAATTTTTTAAATTAGGAGCACAAGTGCTCCTAAAAAGAAAAGTAAGCGTCGAGCCCTGTGTGTGCTGACAGATCACTAATAATCTCTTCCTCTTTACTACTAGTTACAGCACCAAATAAACCTGAATGAACATCAGAAGAAACAGAACAACTCACTGAAATGAATCATGAATCATGTAATCGATCGATCGGTGTTTCAACCGCAGAAAGACGTCAATAAAACAGCTTCAGATCAATAATGTCACGTAACGTCACATTTAACTCAGAAAAAAACATTCAATGACCATAAACTTGATAGTCAGCTAGAAAAATAACTCTAGAGAGAGCATTTTTGATTTTGAACACACTGGAGTAGAAATATATCATTCAACATTTTCACTGTATGTCAGATGTTGTACATTGGATTTGGATAACCATTAGATGATGATGATGATGATGAAGGCGTGCGTTTCTCATGATCTCTCTCTCGTTTCTCGCAGTGTGACGGCTGAGGCTCCGCCTCCTGTCGTCCGCATCATCAACGGTTACATCCCAGTCCAGACACACCCACAGGAGCACGGCAGAGCCAATCAGCACAGGACGTTCTCAGGCTCCTCCTCCTGGAGCCCCGCCCTCACTGCGACGGCTCTGTGTGTTCAGATCCTGCTGCTGCTGCTTTCATGACGTCTGATGAGCTGCAGGTTCGAGTTTAACCCTGAACCTCACAGACTCTGAGCCGCCGCCTGCTTCATGCTGGACTAATCAACCGCTTCACTTCAGCTCTTGAAGAATCACTTCCTTGCAAATCAGATGTATTATAGATGTAGAGTTTTGAATAAAGCATTTGTTTGTTCACTTATTTTATAAATATATAAAGAAGAGTCATTATATTTTTTAGACTAAATCAGCTACTAACCAGCTTAACTGGCCTCAATCATGAAACAGCAGCAGCGAATTTCTGTTTGTAAAACCTTAGAAATCAAATCACTTCCTTCAGTTCAGTGACACTTTTTACAGAAAAGCAGATTTACAAGTGATTTGTGCAGAAGCCAGTTTCACGTCAGAGGCCCGTTGAGTTTCTTCTTCTATCTGTCAACTTCATGCATTTGATGATTGTTTAAAATGTTGTGTTTATGACATAGAAATGAGTCATTTAATTTATTGAATAGATAGTGTTAGTTGATGTAAATGTGTTTATGTGGTTGTTTATGACAGAATGATACAATGTAAATCATATCTGGTGTTTGTGACGTTACAGTAATTATGTTTGTCTATGATGTTACAAGAAATAAAGTATTTATCTAGTTCAAGGTTCTCCAAAGGAAAGATGAATATAGATGTTCTGTTCCTCATCAGGTTCTTCTTGAACCAACGACTGGCGCCGCGACTCTTTGGACGAGATCTTTTATTATGCTCTTTAAAATAAATCATAAGACCAATGGGATGGTTTATTTCTGGCTGCCAATGAATGTGTGAAAGGATGTTTCTTTGTAAATCATTCGTCACTAACAAAAACATTGTGGTTATTACCATAGCTGGGTTGTGAGAGCTGATCTGAGATCAGATATTTCTAATGGATGTCAAATACAAACCGAACACAGTTATGAGAGCATCTGAATGATAATTTTCTGTAAATGTGTGTGTTTGGCTGTAGTAAACCCTTAGTTCAGTCCAAATCTCTGCTGTCAGAGATCATTTATAATTAGCACACGGTTTAGATTGCTGTATGAATCTGGACAGAGTTGGGGAAAGGTACTTTTAAAAGTAATGCATTACAATATTGCGTTACTCACTAAAAAAGTAACTAATTGCATTACTTAGTTAATTTTATGGAAAGAAATGCGTTATTTTACTTTTGAGTTACTTTTTAAATCTGGGCAGGGCTTGCTTGTTTGTTTTTAATATTAAAAAGTTCTTCTTTTACTAATGTAAAAACCCTTTTCACACCAAAAGTGAAGTGAATGCGCCTCAGGCTGAAGGAAATGTAAATTCTCGTCTGTACAGTAGAGGGCGCAGCTCAAACTATCTCATGAAGAATATGACGCAGGAGAAGAAAGTTCAGCACTATTCAGCAATCACTCAAATAAAACACAAATGTGTTACTTTTGCTTATTACTTTTACATTTAGTCATTTAGCAGACGCTTTTATCCAAAGCAACTTACAAATGAGGACAATAGAAGCAATCAAAACCAACAAAAGAGCAACAATAACACAAGTGCTATAACAAGTCTCAGTTAGCTTAACACAGTACACGTAGCAAGGTTTTTTTCTTTAATTATATAATAAATAAAAAGAAAACAAAGATAGAATACAAAAAGAATAAAGCTAGTGTTTTTTTTTTTTTAAAGAAAGCAAGCAGTTAGTAAATAAATAGAGTATAAAAAGTCTAAAAGGGACGTTTTTTTTATTTAGGTAAATGGGTGCAGAGCCAGTGGTGGTTTTGTAGGCAAACATTAATGCCTTGAATTCTATGCGAGCAGCTACTGGTAGCCAGAGCAAACTGATGAACAGAGGTGTGACGTGCATTCTTTTCGGCTCATTAAAGATTAATCTTGCTGCCGCATTATTGGTATGGTTAAATTCCATCATCGAAGGTCAGTAGCAAAGACTTTGGTTAATAAAATAGGATTAAATACATAAATGATATTTGTCTTATTTAACATGTTTAATTGTTGCAGGTTTGTATAATATTCTGAGTTTGCATTTGACTGTTTTTATTGATTTTGAGGAACACTGAATGTGTTTTTGTGCAGTGAGATGAGTAAACACATGTTGATATTTAGTCTAGAACTACAGTAAGATCATGTTCACACACAACGCTCTGCACTTACTCCTGATTTCTGTCACCATGACAACACCAGAGCTGTCACTCAACACATGGAAACAAAGTAACTGCTGTTACTTATTTGAAAAAGTAACTCTGATATTTCCTTCTAAATTAAAAAGTAATGCATTCCTTTACTAGTTACTTTAAAAAAGTACTCGCGTTACCTGTAATGCATTACCAACACTGATTCTGGATAGAACTCAACAAGCAACCTTCGATTCATAAGAGCAATGATAAAACCCAATAAAACAAACCATATGTCCAAAAGACCCAACACAAACTGAGAGCAAGTGAATCAAAGTGCCAGAAATGATCAAATCCCAAAACTAGCGCACTAATGACCTACTGAAGAACATCCAGCCTTCAGCTGACCAGCTCAGCTCAGGTTTACAACTCATAGCAATATCTGAATTAGACAACAAGCAGATAACAAACCAGCCTAAAGCAGCAAGCTGTGGCCAGATTAGACTAACCCTCAAGCATGTAACCAACAGTCACCAGATGAGCCTGAAGAAACAAGCATGTGTCCAATAAAAACTGAACAAGCCTAAAACAACAAGCATTGCTGAATCCCGAATAATGAAGCCCGGAGCATGAGAAGGGAGCGGAGCTGGATCTTCCTCTGAATCTGAATCACATTCACTTAACTTCACCGACAAAGAAGCTCCGACAGCAATAACAACACAAGTCTCCGCTGACATCATCTCAGCATTTCAATATCTACATTCATTACAGTGAGTCTTGTGTTATCCGGGCTTCTGCAGGTTTTATGATGGTCATTTTTAAGACCTTTTTAAGAATAAATAAAGACATATGGAATAAATTGAAGGTAACAGGATTCATCACTATGCTCTCTTAATACAAATGTCTAGGAAGCAGAAAATGAGTTCAATTAACAACACTTCAAAGTTTGAAAATACAACTTCCGACAGATTTCCTCATTTTATTGCCTCATTGTTTTTATATAATGCATTTTAAGTCATTTTAAAGGCTGTTGTTGGCTTAGGTCTGTTTTTATAACCACACGCACAAAAAAAATTTTTTTTAATATATATATTAATACTTCTTTGTAAACTATTATTTGAAGTAACAAACCCATGGTTAAGTTGTGGTTACCATGGCTACAAGAACCATGATTTTTGGTTTTATTGGCAGTAAAACATGGCTAATTGTTGTAAGGAAGCATTGAAACTCAGAGAGAATATTAGATGCGCTGGTGCTGGTGAAATTATTACCGACATTAAAACACCTTCCAAAAAAGTTTCACAGGATTATGAAGGTACCTGTAAGTGATGCACGCGCTTCATCTTGGCCTTTTTTTCTTTCTCTTTTCTCGGCGCAGGATTGCTGAGGTCTTTTCATGAGCATAGTGGTCCATCAGTTATAATCATCTGCATTCAGCTGCAAACATGAGGCGCGAGCGCTGGCGTGGGCTTAGCCTACTGCATTTTTAGAAATAAACATCATTTAGTTCAGCTGGAAAACGTACGCGAACTGAAAGCGTCTGCTCTGTCTGTGACTTTAAATGCAGACTTTGAGTCAAAAACTCATCACCAAACACCAGTGACTTGCACATATGGGTGCATTTATTTATTTTAGACACTTCGTAAACTACGAGGCAGAATGACGCTCTCCGTTCCACCTTAACAACGCGACGCTTCCGCGTTTAGCTTCTTATTGACGCTCAATTTAGGGACCGTCTCTATTTGTGTCTCTTTTTCAGAAACAAACAATAAACTATTTTAAAATGTAAATAACACTGAGATAAGAGCGAAAACGGGCTATCAACATTAAATCTAATTACATTATACGTTAATTATTGAACGTGCGTGTCATCCTTTGAGTGCAGTAATTAATACTTTATTTATTTTTTAATCTAGCCTCTTATGAAGACTTCATATGACCAGCACCTGTGAATAGAGGACTCCAGATACAAAACGATGACATTTTCATTGCTTTAAAATGCACACAAAGTTTGCTTAAATGCATATACGGTATTTGTAAATACTATAACGTGTACTAGACTTCAACTGTTCTTTCTCATACCCACTCCTATAAACACTATTCTGGTTTCTGTAAAGCTGCTCTGAAACAATATGTGTTGTGAAATGCGTTATACAAATAAATATGAATTAAACTGAACGAGCCATTGCATTGTTGGTTACTGTACCATGTTGTAGATACAAGTTTTAAATACATGAATTATGTTTCCATCTTTGTTGCCACAGTTTTGGAAGTGCCTTTTTCTGTTCTAAAGAAGATGGTGTCCCAATACTTTTGTCCATATAGTGTATGTACAAGTCATCAGTGTTTGGTGATGAGTTTTCGGCTCAAGGTCTGCATTTAAAGTCACAGCAGACCAGTCAAGTTCTTCCACACTGACTTCTTTTTGAACCTTGCCTTATACACAGAGGCATTGTTGTGTTAGAATAGAAAAGGGTCCTGGTCCAAACTGTTGCTGTGAAATTAGAAGCACACAATTCCCTAGAATACCATTATATGCTTCAACATTAAGATTTATACTCATGAAAATTACTAAAGTAGTCAAACCTGTTCATTAGAAGCAATTTACCCCCAGTTTCACAGATAAGACTTAAGCCTAGTCCCAGACTAAAATGTAAGCCTGAGCTGTTTCAATTTAAAGAAACTTGCACTGACTGATCTTAAAATATATCAGTGCCATTGTTTTGTCTCAAGATGCACACCAGTAATGTTTTTTTTCTAAGGCACGTATATAAAAATTGCTTAAATGTCCTAATTGAACTATGGCCTAATCCTGGCTTAGTCTAAGCCCTGTCTGTGAAACCAGGCCATAGAGTATCTGATCTTATAAGATGAGCTCCTTTACACCGAGTGCACCTGATCGAAAGTGAACAGCGAGCGCTCATTCAAAAGCGATTTCAACACACTATAAATAATATTAGACTGTTTGCTGGAGCGGGCGGTTATGGTCAGAAAGGCAGCGGGAGTGGGAATAAGAAAGCTGAAACGCTGTGACCAAACGCCATACTAACGCTGTTTAACACACAAACATGCTAAAACCCAAACAGTGAAATGTGTAAATATTACTATGA